GTGAGAGATGGCTCTGGGGAGCTGACCAGAGTCTTTCAGGGAAAACAAACCCCATCACTGCCACCCGCCACAGGGACATTCCAAAAGAGCTGAATTGGATGCCAATAATATTAGTGGGGACGGGGCTCTTACCCTGCACAGGCACTGTGCCAGCCAGTTTCTCTTCCTTATCTTTTATTATTATCTTTAAAATAATTTTGTTTTGGGGGCCACACCCAGCAACGCTCAGGGGTTACTTCTGGCTCTGCACTCAGGAATTACTCCTAGCAGGCTTGGGGGATCTTATGGGTTGCTGGGGATTGAACCCAGGTTGGCTGCATGCAAGGCCCGCACCCCACCCGCTGTACTCTAGCTCCAACCCTCTCTTCGTGATCAGATGTGACTTATACATCAGGTCCCTTCCCAGGAGGGAGAATGATGGCTCATGGGGGAGGAGACAGTGGGGTCGGCGCAGTGCCCTGCCTCGTCAGTGACAGAGCCAGCATGTGCATCCTGTGGTGCGTCGTGTAACCCCACACTCCGGGGGACTGCAGAGCAGGGACACTCTCTCAGGGAGTTGCCCTTGCAGGTGACAGCTCACCCAGAAAGGGATAGATCCCTTTGCTCAGCCTTCTACTCCCAGGGATGCTTCGATCAATTTGGGATTCACTTTCCTGTCCCTTTTCTATGCATTTGTGTATATGTTTGTATGCCAAAAGAAACTTGGAGTTTTCTTTTGTGTATTTTTTTTTTAAAAAAGAAGGGCCACCTTAGTGGTGCTGGGAGGCCAGGGGCAACTCCTGGTGAGACTCAGGTCAGTGGTGCAGGGGGTGACTAGGGTTACATCTGGCAGTGCCGAGGTGACCAGGCAGTATTGAAAATCAAATTCAGGGCCTTGCAATACTATGCATGTGCTCTATTGCCCAAGAGTTCTCCCCAGTCTCTAATTTGTGTGTATATATGTAAAATCTTATATAAAATATAAAACTATATATCATATTATAAATATATAAAATTATATATATTGTTTTTTTGACGCCACACCAAGTGATGCTCAGGAATTACTTCTGTTGGTGCTCAGGAGACCATATGGGATGCCAGGGATTGAACCTAGGTCTGCTTCATGCAAAGCCAGCACCCTACTTGCTATACTATCACTCTTGCCACTGTGTATTTTTTAGTAAATATATAAAACCACAGTGTCTCTGTGTTATTTGTCATTTTCCCCGAGTTTTGGTGCCACACCTGGTGGTGCTCAGGGCTTTATTCCTAGTTCTGTGCTCAAGGATCACTTCTGGTGGTCTCATGGACCATATGTGGTGCAAGATACCACACCTGGGTCAAATACATGCCAGGCAAGCATCTATCTGCTGCACAATCTCGTCAGATCCTCTGTATTATTTATTTTGTCTGTTTTTTTTTGCGGGGGGCACACCTGGTAATGCTTAGGTGTTACTTCTGGTTCTGCACCCAGAAATCACTCCTGGCAGCTCAGGGGACCATATGGGATACCAGGAATTGAACTTGGGTCAGCCACGTGCAAGACAAGTGCCCTACCTACTGTACTATCTCTCCAGCCTCCATCAGGGCTGTTTTGGGCTGGAGGAAGATCAATAGGCTGAGCACATGATTTGCACGTGGGAAGCCTGAGACTTTTGTTCTGGGGGGTCACACCCAGTTGTGCTCAGGGCTTGCTTCTGGCTCTGCACTCAAGGGATCACTCCTGATGGTGCTCAGGGTACCCTTTGGCGTGCCAATGACTGAACACAGGTCAACCTAATGCAAAGTAAGCCCCAAGTTTGATCCTTACCAAGCCAAAAGTTCCCCAGCACCCTAGGAGTGACCTCTCAGCATTAAGCCAGGAATAGCTCCTAAACCCACTGCCCCCGCCTCCCGCCCCCCCAAAAAAAAGGAGAAAGAAAAGAAAAAAAGAGCAGAGCTGTCTCTTGACAACTCCATATTCCACTCCAGGTACCCAGGGGTCTGGTCTCAGGAATCGCTCCTGGCGGGCTCAGGGATTCCAGGAATTGAACTCAGGTCACCGTATGCAAGGCAAGCTTCTCTCCAGCCGACATCAGGGCTGTTTTGGGCTGAGGGGTCCATGTGCCTGTTGGGTAGAGTGTCTCTCCTCCTGTTAGTGTCTTCTCCCATTATGGCAGCCACGTGAAGACATGGCTGATCTCTGGAGGTTCCTTAGCAGAAGCATTTGTCTGTCCGCTGGGCTGGCCAGGTGGGCACAGAGCCATGGCGTCCGCTCTGGGGGAGGGTGCACTGGGAGAGGGAGAGGAAAGCAGGCTCCTTCCGCCCTGCTCCTGCTTGGTGAGTCAGAGCCTGGGTCCTGGCGCCCACGCTGCCGGCAGCTGTCATTCCCCCCAACCTCATGGACAGAGCTCTGAGCCAGCAGCAGGGCCACCCGACGTTTAGCACTGACTGGTGTGGGGGTAGGGTGGAGGGGGGAACAGTGTGCCCAGGAGTTATCTGCAGCCTCACAGCAGCTTCAGAAGCCGAGTGTCCGTTTTCCCTGTTTGGCAGATGTGAAGCCACCTCAGAGTGAGGAGGTGCTGAGAGGTGCAGTCTGAGCCAGACTCTTGTCTTAGGCTCCCGATTCTTTCCTCTACACATGTTGCTCCCCAACCCCCAAGACTGCAGGGAGACGTCCTCTCAGTCTTTGCTCTGTGGACTCACCCCATTATTCCTACAGCTGGGGTGTTATAGGTTTGAACGCGTGGGAATGGGAGTTTACTGGAGCTTCAGCACCATGGACAGGTCCTATAGGTCTCCCCCTGGGAGGCTGGCGGATGAGCAGATTGGGTGTTGTTTCCTGAGTACTCGTGAGCTCAGTGGGTGCTTGAGAGCAGGGTGAGTTTGGCCGGGGTGCTCTCTGGGGTGATCTGTCTTAGCCTTGTCTCTGCCACAGCATCCCCATCAGTGACGGTTGTGTGGGACTCGGGCTCCTTCCTGCTTCCTCACTCTTCCATCTCCCCCTCTGACCCACCTCCAGCTGCCTCCTGAACTCAGCTGAGAACTCATTGGGCAGGGAAGGTTGTGGCGGGGCGTGTCTCAGAATCTCAGTGAGTTTCCAGGTAGCACACCCATCCTTTGCAGAGTTCAGTGAACTGTGCATACCTTTAGACATGGGTATCTGTGTAAATTGTAGCTGTAAGTGGCTCTCACTTTGTCTGAATCCACTATCTGAACACCCATATTGGCGGCAACACATGATTTAGAGGAGGGATTCGTCACCTACTTTTCATGCATATCTAGAAGGATTTTATCAGAGGGATCTCTGACCCTTGTGTAAGCTTGGAACAGTGTGTGTGTGTGTGTTTGTGTGTGTGTGTGTGTAAAAATGTATAAGGTTTTTTTGCTTTGTTTTTGGGCCAAACCCAGTGATTCTCAGGGTCTGCTTCTGGCTCTGTGCTTAGGTATCACTCCTAATGGTGTTTAGGGGATGCCAAGGATGGAACATGGGTCAACTGCATGCAAGGAGAGTGCCCTATCCTTTGTATGATCTCTCTAGTCCCCCAAAAGTGTTAGCTTTTCATTTTCTCGACAGAGGTTCTGTAGATTTCATTAGCTTCCCAAAGGACACACTGAGTTACACAGGTGAAGAGACTGGCTTAACTTAGCATCAATTCAGAGAGGCCCTTTAATGTTTAGGAGCTACTGGATGCCAGTTAGTAAAGCCAAATTCTCACCTCCTCCTGTGTCCCCATTTCAATGGCGTCTGTGCTTTCTCATCTGCCCCTTCCCCCCCACTCCTGCTGTTGGAGTCCACATTTGGGACTGGAGATGATTTCCAGTCCAGTGTCACCAGAGCTGTCACACACTACCTAAGGGGACCTGCACCACCAGCAACTTTGATTTCACTGCGTGCATTTCTGTCTGGTCCCACTTCCAAATTTTGACTTTCAGGGGAACATGAGGCTAATGGCAAAGATAAAGCTGTTGCTTCCAGCATAGGATGAGACTTTGTCTACAAAGGGATTGATGAGCCCAGGTCAGCAGGAGGCCCTCTCGTCAGGTGCAAGTGTGCCTGTTCCTGTGGACCCAAAAAGCCTGAGAGGGGCGAGGGCTCCTGGTCATATGTGTTGGTCTATGGTGTAGTCTTTTGCAGGGAAGAAGGGGTTGAAGTGTCTGATGTGTGTTTGGGGCAGCGCTGCTGGGGTTCACTGCCCTTCACAGAGCTCCCTGGGAAGTACTGGACCATACTCAGGCCTTAATGTGGGACTGAGATCAGGGTTCAGACTGCTGATGGGTCAGGCCTTAGTCTGGGGCTCAGGTGGGCTCAGTCTGGTCCAGGCTTGAGGCTCCGTTTGAGAGTTGGGTAATGTAGGGCTCATCTGACAGCAGAATCACACACTGGGAATACAAGCTGCCACTTCTATTTATTTTGTTGTTTTGCTATTTACCCAGTGGAGCTTGGGACTTATTCCTGACTCTGTGCTCAGGGATCACTCCTGGCATGCTCAGGGGACCATATGGGATGCCAGGAATTGGAACCTGGACTGGCCATGAGCAAAGCAGGCACCCTTTGTATATCTCTGTATATCACACCCGAGGTATATCTCTTGGTCCTGGCTTCCTGTGTAGCTGATGTCAGGGTTGGGTCTGGAGCCAAGGTCCAGGTTCAACCTGCAGATCCAGGCTTCTGTGATGGACTGAAGTGAGGTATCAGCCAAGGGTCAGGAGTCAGTTTCATGGTGGAATCAAGGCTCGGGGTATGATCAGATCTGAGGGTCAGGACTGGAGCCTTAGTATAGCAGGTAGGGCACTTGCCTTGCACACAGCTGACCTGGTTTTGGTCCCTGGCATCCCACATAGTCTCCAAAATGCCACCAGGACTGATCCTGAGTCCAGAGGCAGGAGTAACCCCTGAGCATCACAGGGTGTGGCCTCAACTGCCTCCCCACTTAAAAAAAAATAAAGCAAATCCGAGGATCACTTTGGGGCTGGGATCGGGTGGGACTGGGAGTGGAGAGTGTCTTTCTCTGCAGACTCACAGAATGTCTTTCCTGTAGGTACCCAGGCTCTCATACCCAGGCTCAGAGTCAGCGGACAGCAGGCGTCTGGCCACCAAGCACAGCAGGAAGGCCATGAAGGCCAGCCTGACCCTGGGCATCCTGCTGGGCATGTTCTTTGTGACCTGGCTGCCCTTCTTCGTGGCTAACATCGTCCAGGTAAGGGCACGGTGGGGAGCAGGCCTGGGCAGGGGGCGCCCCGGCCATGACCCAGGCGGGGAGGGGGTCGGGCCACCCCCCCCCAGCATCCCCAGGCCTAACGCCCCCTTCCCTGCAGGCGGTGTGCGGCTGCATCTCCCCGGGCCTCTTCGACATCCTCACGTGGCTGGGTTACTGTAACAGCACCCTGAATCCCATCGTCTACCCGCTCTTCATGCGGGACTTCAAGCGGGCCCTAGGCCGGCTCCTGCCATGCGCCCACTGTCCCCGGGAGCAGCGGGCTAGCCCGGCTTCGCCATCGATGCGCGCCTCCCACAGTGGTGCCCGGCCGGGCCTCAGCCTGCAGCACGTGCTGCCCCTGCCCCTGCGCCCCGACTCTGAGTCCGAATCCTGCTCGGGCATTTCCTCGGGCCTGCAGCCTGCGGCGGCGCACCTCCTGCTGCCAGGCCAGGCTGCCCGTGATCCCCCGCTGCCCGCCAGGGCCGCCGCCGCCACCGTCAGCTTCTCCAGCATCCACCCCGCTGAGCCCGAGCTTCTGCGGCTGCCCCCGCCCGGAACCCCCACAGACTGACCCGCAGGGAGCTGCCCGGGATGGGGCTGAGCTGTGGAGGCCTCGCACCAGCTCTCGGCAAAGCCGGGCTGTGGGTGTTGGCGGGGGTGGGGGTGGGGAAGCCCTCAGCACACCACGGGGGTGCACAGTGGCAGCTTCTGCCACCAGCTCCAGGCCTGCCACCTGGAAGGGTAATAACTGATCTCGTTTTCTCTGGGACACTCCATTGTTGGGACCAACTGGTGCTGGTCAGAGGCTCCGAGAAGACAGCAGACCTCTTAGTCCGAGGCGGCTGGAGAAGCACAGGAGGGTCCCACTGCCTGCAGAGTGGGGCCCCAGTGAGTGCTGCCCGTGGGCCATCACACCAGCATTGCCCCCCCCCCCCACCCTTGGAGCTTGTTAAAAATGTTCCCCTTTCCTGGAGGCCTCTCCCAGAGCACCAGAATCTGCCATGGCTCACCTCCTCTGGCCCCAGGGAATGAACAGTGGCTACTCGGGTCAGCAGAACCCAGTTGAACATCTGACCCTCTCGGACCCAAGCCCCTGCAGGCAGTCTGCTTTTATTTGGGGCTGGGGTGGAGAGGCTCTAGTGCCCCCCTGGTTTGTCTGCCTTCAGTTCCTGTCCATGGAGACCTCCCTCCCTCCTCTCCCCCTCCCCCCCTCCCCACTGGGGGGCTCTGTCGCTCTCCTTGGTGCTGACCAGATTCAGTCCTGGCCCTGGCCACTGACTACAGCAGGGCCGTGGTGCTTGCTGGGGCCTCTCCTCTGCCTCTAGGTCTGCCCGACGGACTCAATAAAGACTCGTGGAGGCAGCAGCGGCTGGTGTGGATGGAATTTATGGGGGGCGTGTGTCCCTTTGGGCTGGGGACAGAGCTGGCGAGGCAGGAAGAGGTCTCGGGTATGGTGCCCTGCTCTAGACCAGCCCCCTGATTTGCTCTGGGGCTTCAGCTGAGTCATTTCCCCTCTAGGGGTCCAGGATCCTGTGGGTGACACGAGCTGTTTGGACAAAAAGAGTGTTGTAAAAAGAATCTCTTCAATGGAACAGGGCACACACACACGCACGTACGCACATACACATGTGCACACACACACACACACACACACACACACACACACACACACACACACGGGCCAGCTCAGCTCCCATGCTCTGCTGTTCCTCCCTGCAAGGACTTTCTCCCTCTGGGTCTTTGGTTTCTGCATTTGCACAGCTGGGGAGAATTCCCTCTTGCCCCCACTTCCAGGGACAGGGCGCAGGCACATGACAAAGCTTCTCCTGAGGAAAGTGGCGGCGGAAGTGTGGTTTTGGCGTCTTGCTGGTGCCTGAGACGGACCCGTCTGTGAGAAACACAAGGTCTCCTCACTTCTCTGGGCCTCGGTTGCTTCAAGCGTAAAACCAAGATAACCACCGAAATAAGTCACGCAAGCACTGAGCACGCAGCCCGGACAGGCAGAGCTGACTGTTGGATTCTTGGAGCCGTCTGCGCCTCTGTTCCTGCTGCAGCAAAGCCCTCCCCGGGAAAGTTCATTCTTGCCACTGGGCCCAGCCTCCTCGCTCCCACCCTGCATGCTCATTCGGCCCGCAGTCATCAGGCTTGGTTCCAGCTTGATCCAGGCACGTCTTGGCGGGCTCCCTTACATCAGGGCTGTGCGCCTGTCGACCCCTGCTGTGTTCCTCTGTGGACTGTACTTGGGGGATTAGAGTGGATGTGCCCACGGCAGAGTGCCCAGCTCCCCTCACCCCTGCCCTGGTGTGCACTGATGGTGCCTCTGAGCCAGGTAGATGAACAGGCAGACATACCTGCCTTGCTGAGGCCAGGTGGATTGGGGAGATGGGGAGGGGGTCTTGGGCTCCAGGGGGTTGCCTGGACCGCCTGTTGGACTATAAGGCACTGTAGCTTGTTAGAGTCTTGGGCCTCTACAGCGACTTCGCAGGGGGGAGCACTGTCTCTCCACCACCCACTTTCTCCCTCTTCCTTTCTTCTCAACCCTCCTATCCACCAGTTGGAAATGATCCTGGTTGAGAATCTGTGGGAGCCAGAGGAAGGAGGCAGGAGTGTGCCCCTTCTGGATGTCTGGGGAGAGTGTCTCTGAGTCCTCTGCTGGGGTCACTCCTGTCCCACGTTGGGCCCCTGGCTCTGGCCAGCACAGTCAGGACAGCCTAGAGGGTTGCAGCTCATCCCGTGACTGCAGCTCTGTAGGTTGGTGGTGGGGCTGGCAGCGGCAGGCGGAGATGCCCCTTCCGAGGGGTCCGATCCGGTGGGCGTTGGGGCTGGGCTGGGGTCAGTGGATGCAGTGCTCCTGGAGGAGTGTTCAGGTGGGAGGCTTGGGGCTGGTCCATCCTGGGCAGGGGTTTCAGGGGCGGTGGAGGAGGTGGGTGCTGCTTGGGGAGGCTGCTCTTGGGGCAGGCTGCCTGAGGCCAGCAGCAGCCCCTTCTCGTCCCAGCCCGGCTTGGTGCGGATGCCCACAGCCTTCAGGATAACGTCCATCTGCTTGGCGTAGTCCAAGTGGCCGCTGACCTGCAGGAGGACAGTGAGCGAGGACCGTGTGGGGCTGGCCCAGCCCAGCCCTCCCCTGGGGTCCCAGGCTAAGCTCCTGAACCTCATTTTCTCCCTTAGCTCCTGGAGCTGCCAGTCACCACAGCCCATTCTGACCCTCGTGTCGGTGGAAGCTTCAAGGCGGCCCCAGGCTTGACCAAATACAGATGAAGGAACTTCCTTCCTTCCTTCCTTCCTTCCTTCCTTCCTTCCTTCCTTCCCTCCCTCCCTCCCTCCCTTCTACCCTACCTCCCTTCCTTCCTCATACCCAGAGATTCTCAGGGATTACTCCTGGCTCTGCACTCAGAAATCATTCCTGGTGGTGCTCAGGGGACCATTTGGGATGCCAGGGATTGAACCCGGGTCAGCCACATGCAAGGCAAGTGCCCTTCCCACTGTACTATTGCTCCGGTCCACAATGAAGTGAGTTTCTATGCAGTATCTGAGTCCTTTGGGCATGGGAGGGAATCTCCTGATGGGAAGCTTCTATTCTCTCCTTGCAGCTGAGTGTGGGGGCAGGGCTGGGCTGCATACCACTGGGGGACATTGGTCAAGTCCTCTTTTCCCTTTGACCTCCATTTGCCTCTGCTGCAAAATGGGGATAATGCAGCAGCTAAATCACAGGACTGCTATAAAGGTTCCTTCAGGGAAATTCCCTGAACTGAAAACAGAGCTATGACACACAGCTGACTCAGTGCTGGCACAGAACAGACAGAACCTTCTATGCCCTAGTATCCCTGACTCCTTTACGGGCCGGACCTCTAGTGTCCATCTGGGAATATTCTCCAGGCTCACATACAGTTAAGTACAGGACAAGTTTTGATGAGATAAAGCAGAAGTGTCATATGACAGTCATCGGAGGAGGGTTAAAGGAGTAGGATTCTCTCCTTCTATTTCCTCTATCTAGTTGGATGGAATTCAGACGTGATGGCCTGAACCTCAGCAATTATTTTGGAACATGAATTTTATCATCCTATGAAGGATGGCAAAACAGTAAGACTAATAAAATTTTGGTCCTTATATTATGTGGAACCACCAAACCATCCTTGAGTTGTTATTCTGGACATTTTTGGCTTGTTTGGTGTATCACCAGGCAACGCTCAGGGTTGAGTCCTGACTCTGTGCTCAAGGGATCACTCCCGGTAGTACTGGGGGACCAGGAAGTTTCAGGGATCAAATCTGGGTCTTCGGCATGGAAAGCATGAGCTCCAGCCCATTGAGCTATCTCTCCATCATTAAGAAAATAATGTCATTTTTTTTGGGGGGGGGGTCACAACCGGTGATGCTCAGGGGTTACTCCCAGCTCTGTACACAGGAATTACCCCTGTTGGTGCTTGGGGGGGGGGGGGACCATATTGGATGCTGGGAATGCAGGTTGGCTGCATGCAAGGCAAACGCCCCACTTGCTGTCCTATCGCTCTGGCTTGATGTCCATTTCTTAAATGACATAACTCATGTGTTTCAAGCATTTCAGTCTGATATATGGACTTGAATTTTTTTTTGGGGGGGGGGAGGAACTCCCAAGCAATGCTCCAGGGACCTGGGGGCCACTCCCAGTGGCACTCGGCTCTGCTGTGCAGGCTGCATGGTTGGATGCTGGGGCCCAGTGAAGTAGAGCTTCCCCGGTCCAGAAGCACTAAGGTGCCACCAGGGTCCCCCTGGTGGTCCTTGGGGAAGCGTGTAATGCCAGGAACTGAAGTCAGGGCCTCTGCACCCAGCCCTCTGAATCTTCTCCAGGCCTTGGGCTCAAGTCTAGATTTCAGTGCACACCCGGCGATGCTCAGTTGTTACTCCAAGTTCTACACTCAGGTATTTCTCTTGGCAGTGCTCAGGGAACCATATAGGGTTCTGGGGGACCAAACACAGGTTGGCTGCATGGAGAGCAAATGCTCTCCCCACTATACTATCTCTCTGGTCCCTTGGACATGAATCTTTTTTTATTTTTATTTTTTTGCTTTTTGGGTCACACCCAGTGATGCACAGGGGTTACTCCTGGCTCATGCATTCAGGAATTACTCCTGGTGATTACTCGGGTGACCATTACGGGATGCTGGGAATCGAACCTGGGTTGGCCACGTGCAAGGCAAAAGCCCCACCCCCACCCACTGTGCTATGGCTCCAGTCTTGGACATGAATCTTAATTCAGACAAGAACCAAGAAGTCGGAAGTGCCTGTCCCTCTTCCTTAGAGAATGGAAATGCCCCGTTCTCCTTGTTGAGCTGCATCAGTGAATGAAAAGTAGGGGTACTTTTGAAACATTTTCTAACTATGACAATGACAACCCCCCACACAGTAGGGCCTTGATACATAGTAGGAAATAAATTTGTGGGATATGCTTCTTTGACCAGGGTTGGCTATTGGTTGTCAATAAAGAAACTGGACCCAAGAGAGGTAAAGTAACGGTTCAAGTTCCTGCATCTACAAAGGCTGAGGGCTGGGGTTTAAATCCGGCTTGCTCTATTCATCAAAAAACCAGAGCAGAGGATTTTTTTTTTTTTTGCTTTTGGGATCACACCCAGCAA